TTCCCCCAGACGATTGTTTTCGAGTCCCTAGTTACTAGGATCCCATACCACCGAATATAGAATCGCCGTATTCGCAGAGCCATCAGTATTCCGTCTACATACACAGCTATTACATGGGTACTCCGCCGTCAGACGGTGCGGCGCACGGTCGAATAAAATCAATAGAATAAGATTTTATTATAAAACTCTGTAAGGGTGGGTCGAGGAGAGTTTTCATCGAGGAAAAATAGAAAAATATAGGTTCACTTGTAATAATTTACCAAGTATTGAATTTAAGTCAACATAGTGGACTATACATTTATGGTTCTGAATTTTAAATACTTCACTTGAGATATTTTAAAATGGAAAATTTCAATCTTATTGAAATATAATATTTCAATGAAATTATGAAAAATATTTTTTTTCTTTTTAACTTGTTCCGTTATGAACAATTAGAAAAGATTATTGATTGCACACATAACATATTGATAGTGAATTACCTATCAACCGAGGTTTACGATTTACTATGTTATTGGTTACAAATTAGGTATACAGGTAAAGGGACATATTGATTCGAAGACATTTTGATCCGTTTTGGGTCAATTTTGATTCGTGGATGTGGCATACACAATTTCGCCCAGGTACCTATCAATGAATGGAAAGAAAAATGAGATGTGAGTATTATTTTATTGTTTGGGAAAAATATTTTCAACTTTACCCTAATCTTTTATATTCGTTAAAAATTGTGGTTTTCTAGTAGACAGTTGTGATATAAATATTTATTGAGCTGAGTCAAATTTACAGAACGTTTTACTCGATTTCGCAATTTATTATTAACTTTGCAATGACATTTTTATGATAAAAATATTAATAGTTATTGAAATGAGTTTTAGTTATAAATTACAAATATTATGTTAACCAGTTATGTTTTTTGTTTTTTTTTATATATTTAAAGGAAAAATAAGGATTTCGGTAAATTTCTAAAAGTAGTAAGAAAAAAAAATTTACAAAAGGAACATTACATTTCCCACCACAGAGTATTTTATTGATTAAAATATTTAATTAAATTGTTAAAATGTTGAGATTTATTTTAAACTATTATTAAACTAACAATATTATGCATAAGTACCGTACGCAATAGAGGTGTTGACTTATGAGACGTTATTAAGTTAATAGGACAGGTTACAGACTTACAATAATGACAGGTTACTACTTAGATACAAGTTTTTAATATTAGCTATCGATCAATATGCCATAATAATATTATATTATGATAGGGTGGTCATCGGTTCCGCGAAAAATTTGATTATCGTTTCCGCCAAAACAAGAAAAAGGTTCGATTTTCATTTTTGCCAAATCTATTTCTATACCTATGTTATTGAGGTGGGATTTAGGAACACCTAGTCTATCTGCTGTTTTATCGATCACTGATGTATGTAGATAAAACATTTGATATTGAAGATATCATTAAGAGACAATTGATTTTAACTCAAGTATAGAAATTCCTACCTATTATAAATAAATATAAATAAAACTAACCTATATCACGTATATACTATATATATATAGTGTCTGTGATCTGATCTGTGAGTTCAACTGCGCCTTAGGTATGCGAAAACCTATAAGATTTAATCTAAAAAAACGACGAATTGATGCAAAAATTAAAGCAATAGACGAATACAAAAGTAAAATAATTTCACCAAAATAAAATTATATATTATATTTGTTTTTGGGAAAAAAATTAGTCATTGCTCAATGCTCATTACTTATAGGAAAAACATTAAACAATTACCATTAATAGCAATATTAGTAAATAATAGAATATCCATAGGAATGTATAGGCCGTCTTCGTTTAAATCTATTGTCGTAAAAAAATTTCAATATTCTTATACGCCTATAAATAGTTCAAAAAGAGTTTCAATATTTCGAATATGATATGGTACATACAGATATGATACAAACATTCAGATTTGAGTTACATTAAATAAATTGATTTTTTCAAAAGCTGGTTTTGTAAAGAAAACTTAGTTTTCCTTAATTTTTGTTTGTTTTTCTTGACTCCTTAGAAAACTATTCAGAATTTTTTAATGTTGAATCCTCAACTTGATTCACTTTCCTATCAGAAAAGAAAAAAAGAAAACACATCATTGTAAAACTAATACATTCATCAGAAATTCGTTCAGAATCTAATATTTCAATATTATTTTGATAAATTAAAACGTTCAGTTCTAATGAAAATAAGAAAATTATAAGAAAATTGAAAAGGAGCTCTGCCCCCAGAGTCTTCCCACCAAATGTGAGAACTGATAATCTGCACATATATTATACATTTACACATAATAAATATTAACTTGCATTTCATTTTCAAGATTAATGAAAAAACAAATAATATTTTATTGAAAATTATAGAAAGAAAAACTAATAAAATTGAAAATTGAAAATGTCCGTATACAGCTCAAAACGAGTTAAAATCTTTGAAAATTGTATTAAGTATCTGAATTGATAATATGAACATGTGGTGTACATTTCAACATCAAGTACCTGTAGTTCATCGTTTTGAAATTACAACAAATTAAGAAAATCGCTATATGAAAAATCAAGTGAAAATCCATTGTTGTAAAAATTTCAAATTCAAACGCGCATAAAAATTTAATTTGTTTTTCCGGTAGTTTTTTTTTTTAAGTAGAAAAACTAATGAGGATTCTTGTAAAAAATTTTAAAATCTTAGGGATAGATAAAATTTTTTTATGGATTTCCAACTCAAAATTATTTGCAAATTTTTACGAATTTTGTCGAAATTTTAAATTAAAACGCTCTTAAAAAATTATTATGGATTTAAGCTCAATTTTTTTTTTAATTTCCACTAACAATAAACCACGAAGAACTTTGTATTATATTTTTCATTTTTTTGAATGTGCGAAATTTTTTTTATCGAAACTATTTTAAAATATACAAATAATAATCGAACATTTTATGCGCCTATAAATAGTTATAAAATATTTTGAACATATTATGATGTATAGAAAACTCGAATAAAAAGATTCAGTGAAAACTCATATATCTGAGATATTTTTTTATATAGTTACATCAAACACCAAAATTAATTTTGTCAGAACCCGATTTCCTTAAAAAATTCCCGACAGAGACAAAAAAAAATAAAAATAAAAAACACACACGTCATTGTTATAATCGGTCCGCTAAAAATCTAAAATAAATATTATGTTAACTATTAAATAAAAAATTGTATTTAGTACAAAAAAAGGTATACAGTAGTTGCTGAACTCATACCCTCCCCTTCCCAAAAAATAGGTGTATCTGTGACTATCTAAGTCGTATATGAGATTTATATAAATCAAGGGCGATCCTCCAGCAGTGTTAGTTATAAAAGCCGAATGACCGGTCGGCTACGTAGTAGGAAACATTTTGCCGCAGTTTGTGAACGCGTTTTAAACGTTACTATTCGGCGAAAAATCTGGATATCAGTACCAGGAACTCAGACGGCAGTGGCTGCCGTTCATCGATTACGATGGATGTGTACTAGTGTACTACGGCGGCAGCCGTGACCGCCGCGCCGCCGCCGACGTCAAAACCAAAGAACGAGCAGCGCCAATTACTGCGGTCCTGGTACTGAAGGAGGTAGTTTCAACTTCATGCAGACGCACATTCAGTCTGTTAAACGTACACGATTTCGGCACCGCTACAATAAATTCTCATTGGTCGGTTTTCCTACGTTAACTGTTATCACATAGTTTGATAAATTCTGTTATCAACAAAATATAGCAAACATTTCATAAAATAAAGATTAGAATATTTTATTATTATTTACTATCACTTACTTCTATTATAGCTTCGTCTTTCGCTATTCGTACTAATGTCATTGTTTTTAAATCGTCTTAGAACTAGCATCGAAGCGTATGACCTAATTAAAATGATTAATAATTACAAACATCTACCTGCGTCGTTTACAATCGGAACAGTGAGCGGCAATAATGAGTTATATGATTTTCGAATTTTCGATCTAATATAAAAGATTTTAACTCATTTCATAAAGGGATAATGGATTTAGCAGAAAAAACAAAAAACAAGTCGTGTTGTTAGAAATACCAAAAGTGAAGGTGAACGTTTTGTCTGCGAGTAAGTCGAAAGTGTGGGTAACATTGTAACGTTCAATGTCTGATTTGGTTTTCCATTAACTACCTATTTATCCTGATTATGAGTGTTAATTCACATAATATAATATATCTATATTATGGTAACAAATTAATAAGTAACATACTAAGATCGTTTATGTACTATGCGTGTAATGTTTAAGGCAATCTTAATAGTACAAAAAATGGTCAAAATAAAATGTATTATAATTTTATTATAATCATACAAATTGTCATATACCTATGCCGTTTGCTTCTGACGCACACTATTAGACACACACAATGATTAAAGTATACCACTTTATTAATGTTTTCTTCAACAGTGTCATATTGACCACATTAAGCGATGTTCTTTGAAAAACTCATATTTGTCTAGTCCTGTCACATATGTATTGTGATACTTAGTTTCTATTTTACTACAACTTCTAAAATATTAGTTTATTAGTTTTCAGTTATTATGTACTGCTAATGTTTTTTGCTTAGGCACATCAATCAAGTTAGAAAATGTAACAGTAATAACAAAAAAACCACATACCCATGAAGGAAATGATAATATCTTTATTAATAATGAAATGAAAAATCAATTTAGAAGCGTTTTGGTAGAAAGGGAAAATCAGAAATTAATCCTCTAAAATCAATTTATGATGACCATTCTCCTTGGTATGTCTAATTCTTTAAGTTTGTAGTTGTACTAATTTTGGTAAACATGATTTGTTAGTGGAATTTTGCAATAATAATTTTGGATAGGAACTTTGGTATCATATTTTGTTGTATTTTAATTTATACAAATTGTGTCTTTGTTGATAGGATTGATTACCTATACATTTTTAACCTAAAATATAATAATTATAAAAATTATAACTATAGGAATCCAAATGTGGCTGTAATTTACTCATGGTCATCTGCAGAATCATCAATGTGCCACGCTCGTATACAGCATATTTCACCTCTACCTTTTACTTTACCAGAACTAAAAAAATATTTGGATTCAAATATTAACAAGTATTATTAAAGATTTATTTAATCAATATCATTTAATTTAATTGACACTTACTACTTTGTTTAGTTCATAATATCAGTATAGCAATCAGTCATTTTACCAGAAAAGGATTGTGGATAGTGATGATAAATTTAATATCATGTTAGCTTGTAATGACATCATAAACGCTATAGCTCACAACGTGAGGGTGGTACTCTGTTACATGCAGATAGAACATTGTGCCATCTTATCTGCATTATAGGCATCTATTAACTATGCGACTAATTTCACAAAATCACGTAAGACAACATTTATTTTACAATAATTAAAATTAAATAAATAATTTTAAACATTCTTTTAGTGAGACAATCCCTGTTGGCTTTGTATTGATGGAAGCTAAAATTGAGGCTTTGTTCTAAAAGGTGTTCGTTCCTCAATCAAACTTTTAAGGTATTGCATCCAAATCTGTATATATTTCTAAGCTAGTTATACAAATTAAGTAATTACGATGTATGTTAAAATCTGCTGCCTAGTTATTTTAAACATAAAATACTTATAGATATTTAGTACTATTTATTTAATTTTATAATTTATTATAATTTTTTATTAAATCATTAAGCACCATTAAGTTATTAAAAAAACTAATTAAAATGTATTGGTCATATGTAAAAAGTGGATTATAAGGTTTTTATAAGTGTAAATATGATTCTCATATGCTCTAAAAAGTCTTAAAATATTCCCTTAATAATCATTAAACTGGTGAAATATGCTGAAAATATGCTTTTTTTACTTCAAATAGTTTTAAAAATACTTCATTTACCATTGATTTATATGTTTTCATAAGTGAAAATACATGTAAAATTTGTTTTTAAATTTAAATTTCTATTGCCCTGAGACCCAAATAGTTTCAATCCAGCCTTGCTCATTAATATTTATGTAACAATCCCCAAGTAGATAAATAATATATTTGTATTGTGTTCAGAGTAGTTCCTAGGAACCGTGTTGCATGTGCAGAACACATACACTTGCGACTTGTAGGCATAGAGTATTATGCATGGATTTTTTAACACTGTCAAAAGCACAACTATGTCCTCTTTTTAACAGTGATTTTTATGTGCTATTACGTATTTAGTAGAGTATTAAATATTTATTCATCCATAGCAAAAACTAGATTCTTGTAGATACTATGCAAAGTGAGCATTTTAAATTTTAGATTTTTTATTTCACCATTGTAGTATAACTCAGATTTTTAGGTGACCTAACAATCGGGTCCTTTGGTCTTAGGTGAAAGGTCTTATTAAATACATATAAAATATATTATCCTATTAAATAATTCACACTAAACAAAATATAAGATATTACAATTGAAATCCCTATAAAAAGAAGGGGCCAATATAGGCAACTTTATATACGGATCCGAAAAATCAATTTGTGTTTAAGTGCCGTGGCTACTAGATTCTAAGGAACATTTATAAATTCAGCTGTTGACCATGTCATTGTTGTAATTAGTTAGTTGTAATTTTGTAAAAAATCATTATTTATTATTGTGCGCATAGACAGCACTAGACCAATATTTTTGGGAGTAATCTTTAAGAATTCCCAGGACCCTTAACACAATATATTTTTACATATTATTATTATTTATTTTTATATATTATGTTAATAAGAATTTCAAATGTATTTTTATGCACTATATTTTAACAATGATGAAACAGTAACAGATACAGAAAATACAACTGGAACAACAACTTTAACATGATTTCCAAGTCCAGTAAATTATACAACAGTATATAAAATGAGCATTGATGAATTCAAGGCAACTATTAAGTAGCTACCTTCTATAAGTGCAATTACTATACCCATTATAAAAACAGAACAATTCTGAGTGCAATTTATTATACCAGTTTTAGAAATCAAAAAATTATACTGTATTTTGGAACAATTTAATGGGCATTCCATTATGTTTATATTGTTATAAAATTATTCAACTTTCATATTTTTGCTTAGTATAATAATCGTATCTTGTTAATAAATTTAACTATATTCATATTTTATCTTTTAATTTTACCTATCTACCTAACACCAGATCTGAACAGACTACCCGTTAATTATGTTAGGGTATTTGTATTTTTTACTATAGAGCCCGAAGTACTATTTGTTAATATTTTTAATTTTTATTGTGCTTTCTTAAATCAGTTCTAACAGTGTTTGATGAAAGATTACTGATAATTATTAAAATTAAAATTTTTACATGCGTTATTTAAATAAACCAGGTAAATTTTTTAAGCATGCTCGACGTTCGTCCTATTCTTACGCTTAAATCGTTAATATATATTTAAATGAACTCTTGACATTACAAACTACGTGTTTTTCATATATGAATCCCTCTTTTCACTTTTAATTATTGAGCAGATGTTTTTTGACAATTTTGGTGTATGTAAATCAAAATTTAGAAGAGTAGTTTCTGAGTTGTTATATTCATTGGCATGTAGTGATCAGGTATATTGAGGGGGGGCTGAAGCTCCACTATACATTCTTAATGTAGCCCTTCTCGTTTGCCCTTCTCCCCTCCCCCGTCCTATCAATGATTTATGTTAATGACATTCATTTAACAAATATTATGCCTATGCAACTTAAATATTTTTAAATAGCTATATAATACAACTTATGAGGAACCTTTTACTGAAAAAATTTTTTACCTATAGACATTCATAGAAATAACGAAAAAAAATGAAAATGTCCATTATAAAAATTTCAACAAAATATTTTGAAAATGTTATCATGTATGTACCTACGTATAGAAAAGGCTAATAAAATGGTTTGTTGAAAATGTAAAGATCCTACGTATAAGGTTAATAGTTTTTGAATAACTTACAACAAAATAAGAAACTCGTTTGACGAGGGATCGTTATTTTCCTCCCGAATTTCCAAATTCGTCCAGATTAACGAAATTATATTGTACATCAAGTTAATCCATTTCATGTTAAGTGTCCTCCCGGACTTAGGATACTTAAATTAAAAAGAACGCATAATTTCACCTTAAATTAGAACGGAGTTTTTTTCCCCACCATCCCCCTGTTCTACAAACTGGGTATAATTAGTATGAGCTGCACAATGGTATCTATGTGATGATAAAGCACTTTTGCATGTACCGGTTGGGTTAACGTAAAACATGATTTTTTTAAAATAATTTATGTTTTTGAAAATATATGTAAATGTGTTTAACATAATTTTGAATCGTTAAAAGACAATTGTTATTTTCAAAAAATATATTTTTTGTTATTTTCATCTCGTCGTTTTAATTTTTTTAAGTGACAACTTGTATTTTTAATTCTATGCCCCAAAACAGAATATTTTTTGAAGTACTGTGATGCATAAAAATCGAGTTTCAAATAAGTAGTTTATGAGTTACAAATATTTTAAGAGTTGTAAAGTATTGAGGAGAGGTTTTGGGGTAATTATCTCACAACACGTTACTCCACTACTTCACTAATCCAAATATTAAAAACGTGGAACTAATAAACTACTTTCCTACATTTTGGACAATTTCTGTTTCAGAATATGAAATTTAAAACGATAAAAAACAATAAAGAATAAAAATAAATAATTTAAAAAAACTACGAGTGCCTAAACTAGACCTTTATCGACTGAAAACTAATGTATTGTACAATTTTTAAAAATACGTATATTATGTTAGACAGTAGTTACTTCTGTATTTTATCAAGTTAACAGTCAAAATATTTGTATTAGCTTATAATACTATAAAGTTGTTTCTTACGATTTGGTAAAAGTTAAGAATGAAATAATAAAAACTGAAGAGTTGTTTCAAAAAGTTTTTTTTATCAAAAATGTGTCTTCAACTATATGACCGTTTATATTACACGTTATAACTATTTGAAAAAAATAACTCGAACAAAATTATAAATAAAACGTAGGCAAGAATTTACTTATCCATTTTGCTGTGCCGGTCAGTATAGGCGTAATAGATTTGAACAATTCATGTAATAAATTATAAATCATTTGTTACGCTTTATTTGAATAGATGACATTTTTTAACTAAAACGCACCAATATAAAAAAAATGTGCTAATATATATTTTATAAGATACTTGATTTTTAGTAATAAGTAGAATGAGTAGTTAATTAAAAAAAGAATTATTATTTATTAATTATAAGTAATCGGTTCAGATTATTGTGTACACACGCGTGACAAATTTAAATCGACATTTTCTCCACTTTCCGAGCTGTACATTGAAGGTACTCACCCGTAATCGTGATTTGCAATAATTATATTGTCGGGCCTCAACGTCAATGAGACGTGACGTTTAATTATCATTGTTTGTATTACAATGTCTATCTCGATCCGGAAGACCGGAACCCATGACCCGGGGAGTAGTAGATTGGTAAATTGGATTATGTTATCAGCGCGTCCCTCCGGTTCGTCGCCGCAAATCCAACAGGATTTCGGTGATACATTTATTACATGTCACGGCACGAACGTTGTCGGTCGTTATACTCGACGAAAGCGATTTAACGAGAAATGTACTGTAGTGACGACCACGTCTGTGTCCATTAGGTACCTATCGGCTATCTCAAATGGAAAATCTGCTCGAGTAAACTCTCTGTCCCATCCAATTTATTTCTGTTTGATATTTTATTATGCAAATAATTAAAATCTTCCAAACCATTTAATTCAGCGATGCTTGGAGCAGGCTAGGTATTTGGAGCTTGGTATAAGCGTCAACAAAAAAAAGCCCACTTTAGAAATGTAATTTGTAATAATTTAAAAAAAAAAAATTGAACTATCACCATCACCGGGATTAAAAATTATTAAAACTGTTAAAACTCAAATAATACCTGCCTATTTATTTTAGATGTCGAATAGGTAATATGCATTATGCGATGAAAGCTATGTGTCCATTGTACAACAAGTAGGGTTCTCAATTTGAAAATTGAAAATTGCACTCTTCGAATGTTTTAAAACTCTAACGAAACTATGAAATATATATTTTTTCCTTTAAACATGTTTGGTTAAAAATGATTAGAAATTATTATTAATCAGTGATTACACACAGAAAATATCAATAATGAATCACTTATCGGCCAAGGTTTACGAATTACTATATTAAAGTTTATATGTTGCTATTTTAGGTATAGTATAATACAATAAATAATAATAATAATATAATAATATAGTTACGGGTAATTTATTATTTATAAGTTAGAGTAACTCTAGATACTTTTAGATATGATAAACAATTTTTATTATTTATATTTTACTAATAAATTAACAAAAATAACGGTGCACCGTTAAGGTTAGGTTAGGTTAAGACACACGCATCGTGACCATTTTATACTATATCACTGAGATCCGCGTACAAGGTCTTTTTTGGCAACCTCTAACAACACATACGTTTTTTTTTATAATAACTTAACTAGTTAACTCTACAC